CATCCCATGTGAAGGGATGCTCTCTTGGCCTGGACACATGGGGCAGGGCCTAGGCCTGGCCCAGGATGATGTGGTGGACTTTAGGGAGCCTCTTTTGAGGGCCTTACCCTGCCTGGGGAGTGGAGGGGGGATGGGTAGAGGCAGGTGGGATGTTGGGGGAGAGGGGGGAGAAGGAGAAGGGATTGACATGTGAAGCAAGCTTGTTCCAAATTTGAACTAATAAAAGAATTTTAAAAAAAGGAAAGAACTGTACATACCTGTAGGATAGTATTAGACCCTAAATTAATCTGTAACCCCTCCTGCCCAAAGACCAGGTAACTTCCTGGAATGCTGGGAGTTGTAGTTCTTGGAAAAAAACAACAAAGCCTCATGGGAAAGTACTATAGCCTGTGAATTTTATCCATAAAAGACCAGTGAGCATGTATCTTCGGGGGAGCAGGGAGCTTGAGCTGGAAAGTTTTCACATGGTAGTCCTGACCAAATTCCATCTTTGTTAGTATTTAGTATTTTAATAAAAGCTTGCTTTAATTTGAAAAAAAAATCCATCTCCATACCAACTCAGGCAACACAAAGCCAACTATGTATGGGCAGCCACAGTCAACTGCATACAGGTGGCTAGAAATCCGACTCTACAACAAAAACTCAGAAAACAGCTTCCCTGTGACTATTTTCCCCACAGTCCCACATAAGATGGGTTGGTGGCTAAAAGGTGGCACCCACTGTTAAGGAACACCTTCATTTCAATAGAGAGATGCCACACCACCCTGCCCTTCTCTCACACTCTTTGCCCATAGAGCAAACTGCAGTGATTTTAATTTTGAATAAAAAATGGTCTGTAAATTATTTTCCCAATTAAAACTATGTTCCCCAAAGATTTCTGTCTCTTGGTCTGTGGTGCCCTCTGGATGGGCTGGCTCCACGTGCTTCAGAGTCTCAAAGGTGTCCCCATGCTCAGCCCCTCTAGCTAAAGTCCAGGATCCCTGAATGCCCTGTCCGGAGCTGGCTCCAGTAGCTATTTCGCACATGGTGGCTTCTCCATGACTCAACCTAGCTGCCCTCCAGAACCCGCCTTTGTAGTTGCTCCTCGTGAGGCAGCTGGTCTCCAGCTGTCTGTTGCCTCCCAGCCCCTTTTGAAGCTCAGGCTCCATCTCTTGTTTGCCCAGATGTTTCTGGTTTTCTCAACTCTCTGCACATCTTGGTACATGTGATTTGCCCTAGGAGCCTCCTCCCTTCCCAGGGATGATGGCTCAGGCCCTCTAACCTCTCTTGACTGTGAGTTCATGTGCGTGCTTGAGCACGTGCAACATGCATGTTCATGACGTACAAAACTCAACTTCTGGCCCTCTAAATGGATAAGGACTTTCTCTCCGGGGAACTTGTTTGGCCAACACTGGTAGGGAACATTATTTTGCCTCAAAGTTCATTCCAGCTGGAAGGTGACCGACATTGGTCCCCACAGGCTAAAATTCTAAACTTGAATGACTAGCTTGGCATTTGGCAAAGATATCAGAGTTACTTTGCAAGTGAATATTACAAGCATTCCTCCACCAATCTGGGAGTTCTTTTCTTTCCCGTCCTTTCTCTTTTATTCCATTCTTTCTTGTTTCCTTCAGACTCACAGAAGTACACACAGACTGATCCCACGCTCCAGGGACCAGCCATCTTGGCTGAATCTGGCTGCCATGCTCATGTCCAGAAGCCTCCAAGCTCCACACAGAGGCCCCAGATGGTAGAAATTTTGTAACTGACTGTGGACTGATACAAAAGGAGTTGCTTGAAAGATTATACCTGAAATACAAGCATAAAATTTGGAATTTAAATAAATGTCCTCTGTCAAATTGGTGTAAAAAATGCATTCACACTCTCATTTTCTGTTTTTATCTGATCACGAACCAAACAACTAGTTCACAGATGGGCACACGATATGGACTGCATTTTGAATTGTGTTGAAATAGACTAGGACCATATGTGGAAATTATTCAAATACACATTTCAACATATTTTCTTTGAGAGACCACAGTACATCTGGCCTCTTCCCTGTTCATTCTAGATTCCTGGATGCACATAGCCAAATGCTACTGATTTCTCCACAGGCATGCCACCTTCCTCCAGCCTATGTTAGCTTGCGACACTCGCTACAGACACTGCTCCCACCAACTCTCCTTAGAACGAGTTTGATCTTTGGTTCTCACCTAGGTCTCCTTTCTAAGTGTCCCATCTTGCACACTGTCACCAGAGGAGTGGTTAGGCTCCCAAGTACCTATAATTTACATGTTATGTATAATATATACTACACACACACACACACACACATATATATATACATATATATATGTAAAACAGGATAAATAATACATATATAACACTGAAAATAACATGTACTATATATGTTATAATTACATAATATGGACCATAGATTATACCTATTTGCATTTTATATATTATAATATGCATGTATTATTATATATTATGCATGCATATCATAAGATACAACACGGAATATCGTTTTACATATAAATATGCAACATTCATTATACATATAAGCTACATTTATAGGATATAAAATTATATAAACATATAAGATACAATTTCATTGCATGTGTATGTAATTCTCAAGCTGACCCTCTATATAATATCTAATAGAAACATGCACATAGTTAGGGGTATCATGCTTGTCCTGCTCACCAGTGTCGTTGGGGTATTTGTCTCCCCTGGTGCAGGTCTTCCCATCGTCTTCAAGGACATAGCCCTCCCGGCACTCACAGTGGTAGCTGCCCATGGTGTTGATACAGATGTGTGTACACAGAGTGGTGTTGCTGCTGGCACATTCGTCAATATCTGGTTTGAATCAAATATATAGAACAAGTTCAACACAGCAACACAATTCGCCCTCTGTTGACATGAGAAAGAGAAACATCTAGACTTGAGCCAGAGAAGTGTAGAATAAAGTAAAATGCTGGGAGTGCAGGCCACACATGAACCCTTCTCTTTGGGCCATGTGCCTGTCATTAGAGACCTAGAGTGGTGGTGTCTGCCATGTGGGTTGGTGCCTCAGAGGCTCACTCACCCATAGAGCATGACAATGAGGCCAGCCCTAAGCACTTCCCAGGGCTCCATGGAAGAGAAAACAAGATGACCAGCAACCCAGCTGACTTCTGCAGGTAGCTTGGTATGCTGAAGTTTAATCACCGTTTATAATGGGAGGTTCCAAACAGCATGATGGTGACCCAGAGGTCACTTAGGAATGGTCTCTTCCCAGTTAAGAGATATGACAGTAACTGGAAAAAGCTACTTCTAACAAAAGTAAATAGTAGGATGGGTCTCGTGGAGAGAGGATTCCCCAGGCAGTCCCTACTCCATATTGACCCAAGCTGAATCCTGGTGAGCTGTGGAAATGAGCCATGAGCTCATCAAACAAGGGACCACAAGAGTCAGCGTGGACTGTGTACATCACTGACTTGGTTTCCTGTGGCATGGGGCAGAAACAAAAAGGTTTCTCACCACAGGAAAGAGGGGAAGGCTGTATTCCATTTCCTGTCCACTGGATGAAGACACCTGGTGTAGTGGACAGGAGCAAGGACACAACCTCAGACTCTACACATGTGGCAGGCAGAGCCCAGCCCTGAAATGCACAAGACTGATAGCTTCCCAACTGCTCGCTGGGCAAGCTGCCAAAGACCTAGCTCTGACAGGAGCTGAGGGTGCCAGGGAGAGCATGGTAATGCAGGTGTTCCCCTGGCAGTACACACAGACATCTAGAGGTTGGGGGTCCCAACTGAAGCCTACTTAGAGGTGACCCTGTCCTAACGCTAAGTATGAAGCAGTTGTGCTTTGGGGGCACTCTTTGTTGAACTAAAACTCCTCTGGTCATCAAAAGAAAACAGAAGGTTAAAGTAGCTACCGGACACTGAAACATTAACCTTCATCTGTGGCACTGAGCCATTGGGAACATCCTCTGCTCTATGTAGGTGGTGTCATGGGCTCCTGCTCTATTTACTTAATTGTGTTGGCCTCATGCCTTGTTAGTGTGCAATACTGTTTCCAGGTACTGTTGGAAGGTTGTAGAAGGCCTATGGCTAGGCCTTTTCCTAAAAGCTTCTCCCCAGAGCCCTGGTGGACAGAGGGGAAAGGCGACTTATCAAGGCAATTTTAATTTTCATGTGAGTCTATTGGTCATCTCAGTTTCTTGAATTTCACCAAATGTCACTTAGTGACATTTGTGAAAAGGCACAATCCTGGGTCTACTACTCAGAGCTATGTCCCATTAGCCCTGGAGAGGAGACCAAGACCCCAGGATAGCCACCTCATGATCATACTTTGAAACACACAACCCTTGAGACAATGAGTCTGAAGCCTTCTTAGAAGGACATGGCAGGGAACCTAGGTCAATAGGGACAAAAGAAACAGGCTGGTGGCCACTGAGGATGGCTGTACTGCTTACTCAGCTGTAGTCCTGGCAGTTAGCCTTAGCTTTCTTCAGACTGCTTCCCATCTGCTCATCATACCAATACTTCTATTGTCCTGCGTGGACCCCAGGGCTACCAATTCTCATTTTGTTCCATGTTTTTACATTACTGATTTTTCTTTTCATGAGAAAGGGTCTTTCTATGTAAACCTGGTTGTCCTGGAACTCAATATGTAGAATAGGCTGGCCTTGAACTCAGAGAGAACTTCCTGCCTCTGCCTCCCAAGTGTTAGAATTAAAGGTGTCACCACACCTGACTTCTTACCCTTTACACTCTGTCTCACACCATTCTAGTTTATGTGGGAAACTCTCCTTTTTCTCTAGCTCTTAGTTCTCCTCTCAGGCTCTGACTAATTCCAGCTCCTGAAGACATCTGTGTACATTATTTGTTTTGATAAACATGACATGGTCCATAGGCTAAAACCAAATACCACTCCATCCCACAAGTGCAAAGACTTCAGGGGAGGGTCCAGAGCTTATAGCAGCTCCTCTGACTTGGTCCTGATGCTGCAGCAAATCTAACAAAGAGCAGAGGTATCTAAACACAGTATGTCCCCTGGAGCTAGAAATGCATTTCCTACGCACCCAGGCAGTAAGGCTTCTCCCGCTTTTGGTGTCTCTCGCGGTCATATCGGTAATTGCTGTTCACAGGGAGCTTGGGCACAAATGTCATAATCTGAAAGAGAAGAGTGCACTCACATCAACCTCAGCAGGAGTTTGCCGAGCGAACCCTAGCCTGGAATTGACTTTGGGGGCTGCTTTTTTGTTAAGGGTTAAATTCGAAGTGTGATTGGTTACCTTTGGAGACCTATTAGCTCTTTCAAAGTTCCTGAGAGTGCCACAATGGATGATTTAATGCATGGCAGGCATCTCCATGATTAAAAGCAAACATTACTTGGATCTTCTTCCCTAGGTCACCTCATCATCCTTCCATTTTCATCACTATCCAGAGTGCAAAGATGGTTAGGTAGCTAGGCTCCAAAGCACCCCTGGGATCTGTTTTTTCTTTCCCTCCAAATGACAGAGAGTGTACTTCTTCCAGCAGAATGTAACGACAGGCCAGATCTGGTGAGAGTTGAGAGTTACACTGTGAGAGAAGACCTTGGGGTCAGGCAGCCTCTGAGAAGGAGCAGGGGCACTTTGGAATTGTGGGGACTTCTCAGAGCCAGTTCTTGCACAAGCAAGTGTTATAGGTGCACTCACAGGAGGGTGGATCCTGCATTCGGAGAAGAGGACTTGGACACATTTGAATGGCTGCTACACATGTCTTATCAGCCTGAAGCCCATGTAAACCAGAGTAGGTTCACTACTACACAAAGAATTAGGGCATATGCTCCCCTGGGCTCTGATTAACTGGTGTTTAATGCACCTCTTGAAGGGCCTTTGGCTCTAAGTCAGTAGCTCAGGCTCTGTTTTTGCTCCCAGCCCAGACTCAACATCTCATTAATCACCCCTGTTCTCCTCGGGTGCCGACAGATGCAGTCTCCTTGGACACAGAGAGAGCCTGGCTCTGCTCTGCTCTGGTATATATGAAGCCAAACAGGTGGGCTGTCAGCTCCTGATGCAGGCTGTGTTATCATTGCAAGGGTCATGTCAGTCTCATGATGACCCAAAACTACTCTTACTAAGCACTCCTTCCTATCAGTGTGAATCCAGGTCTGCTCTGCCTGCATGGGTTCTGACCAGCCTTGCAAACTGTTTTTGGTTACACAGGCTTTTCTCAATGAAATTCTAGGTTCCTTTGCCTTGAGAGCAAGGTCTTAGCATGGCTGGTGAGCAACCCTTTCTTACCAGTGGTCACCATAATTGGGCAGCAACCAGAGAGAGGAGGAAAGGAGGAATGCCTACCTAAAGAAATTGTGCCAACCATGGTCCCCAGCAAGGCTTGCTCTGAGAAGCAACTGTCCAAGTATCTTCTTACATCCTTGCTTTCCTGGGGTGTCACTCCCACCCTTTCCAGTGAATTGTGTTTTTTTATATTCACCTCTGCATCTCTCAATGGCCAGCTCACATCACATCTTTCTGTTGATTTCCAGTCATGCAAGAGAAGTGTTTAGCTTCTTTATCACCTCCCTGCATGCCTTGAACAACACATTTCTAAGTTTCTGCATTTAGTAAGCAAGTTCTTGGGAATTTTAGTTGAGTAAGATTTCAGTGTTTGCAAAACAATGACAATATGAAAGCTGTTCTCTGCTGAGCTTAAACTGGTACTCTTGCCATTTATCTTTTGGGGGGCTCTTTTGCTTCCCCAGAATTAAGATAATCCTGGTGTATGTTTGGGGGTTGCTATTGATTTCAAACCTGCCCCACCTCCTTCTCCATGGGCTATTTTTTTACTTGTGTTTTTGGACATTTTTATGTTGGTAGTCACTGGCCTCTTAGGTGCTGTGAATAAGGGGAAGGAGAAGGGGAAGGTACATAGGGGAAGATGGACACATAGACACAAAGACAGGGATGCTGCCAGAGGAAGGAGGGCTGTGCACGTCTGCTTGCTGCCTGAACTTCGTTTTCATGGAGTCTCATCTCTGTCTCCCTCCTTCCTCACATACACATAGTGTCTCAACAGAGGGAGGAAATGCCAGTGTGTAGTTTGCCTACCACTTGCAGAATCAGCTTCATTATATCCCATTTGAGATATGCCACACCCAAAGGATGGATTCCTCATGTTCTCTGAGTTCCGAGCAACAGGCCTGACTGTCTAGTGCCCCATCCAGAGATACTGACTTAGTCATAGTTACTATTGCTGGGATGAAACACATGACCAAAAGCAGGTTGGGGAGGAAACGGTTTATTTGGCTTACACTTCCACCCACATCATAGTTCATCATTAAAGGAAGTCAGGACCAGAATTCAAACAGAGCAGGAATCTGGTGGTAGGAACAGATGCAGAGGCCATGAAGGAGTGTTGCTTACTGGCTTGCTCCTTATGGCTTGCTCAGCCTGCCTTTTTTTTTTTTTAAAGATTTTATTTATTTATTATGCATACAACATTCTGCTTCCATGTATATCTGCACATCAGAAGAGGGCACCAGATCTCATAAGGGATGGTTGTGAGCCACCATGTGGTTGCTGGCAATTGAACTCAAGACCTCTGGAAGAGCAGTCGGTGCTCTTAACCTCTGAGCCATCTCTCCAGCCCTCAGCCTGCCTTTATATAGAAACCAGGACCACCAGCCCAGGATGGTAATCACTTATGACAGATTGGGCCCTCCCATGTCAATCACTAATTAAGAATGTCCTTATGGATTTGCTTAAAGCCCAGTCTTGTGGAGGCATTTTTTCATCTGAGGCTCCCTTCTCTCAGATGACTCTAGCTTGTGTCAAGTTGACATAAAACAAGGCAGCACAGATAGATACTCTTCCTCTGAGCTTGCAAGTCTACACTGGCCACCGTCTCTCTCTGTTTTCCTGTGAAGAGCTGGTAGCCACTGCCTGCATCTTTTATCTCTGTGGTACTTAAAGTCTTCCTTTTGCTTTTATAACTCTTGGTGTCCAGCCAGTCAGTGATTCTTCCTATCAAACCCTCTCTCTGCTAATCAGGTATATCTGTCCTTCTGGACTTAACTTTTGATCCACATAACTCAGCTTCCCCAATTTTGTTACTAATTTATCCCCAGAGATAATTTCGGAAATCTCTTAAACTGTCTAAGGTATTTGGATATATTCGTGATTTAATCTTGGGAAGGCTCCCTCAAACAGGCATGTCCAACCTTTAGTCACCACACAGGGCACATGTGCCTCTGGATAATTATGAATATAACCTAATACATTTTGTAGACGACATCATGTCACAGTGTCTAAAGGGTAGACAGCCTTGATGGAACATTCTGATTTCTTCCCATTAAGACTTCATGTGATTATCTTTTCAGGGGCACCCCCGCCTTCTGCCATCCACTCCTTCTCTTTTCTGATTTACTCTCTTAATTCAGTAGAGCCTTCTGTCCAGTGTATTCCCCCCCCCCAAAATGCCACAAAAGTTGAGTTGAGCTCACACATATGTAAAAATGACTGTCAACACATAGGAGTGCTGACAGTTGAAATATGTAACTAGGTTGGGCAGCTTTACATCACTGTTTGAAGGCATTGCTCTATTGCCTCCTACCTACCCTTATGTCTTAACTACAACTAAATCCTAGTCTTTATATTTCAATTGAATTTCTTTTTATTCCTCTTTGAAAACTTTTAAGATTTTTCTCTTTTACTTCTAGTGTGCTAAAAATTCATAATGTATCTATTATATGTGGGGCCATGTCCATTTTCAGAAGGTCCCTTTTATCTAGGAACTCATCCTCCAGTTCTGGAGAAGTTTCTGGATTTGCATCTCTGATGCTTACTACTCCCATTTTGTGTGGAATCATTAGGTTCTTGGATATTCCTCTACCAGTTTTATGTTTCTCCCTAGGTTTCATTCCTTTGATATTTTTTATTCTAGTTTTTGAGAAATTTTCTTAGTTTCATCTTCTAACTTTTGTGTCATTTTTTTTACAATTTTTATTTAAATTAGAAACAAGCTTCATTTACATGTCAATCCCAGTTC